CCTTTGTGCGGCCCCAATCCCCCACCCGATTTGCTATCGCTAGAGGAGCAGGCGCTTGTGGAGTGCCTGCTCGCCGCTGCACCACTTCAGAAGGATCTTTACGTATTGGTCTGCCTCGACGGAAGCGAATTAGAGGTTTTGTACCCTGTTATCCAGCGTGGGATGCAATGGGAGGATATTATAAAGGCTGAGCGAGGTAGCCCAGCAGGGATTCCCACGCGGCCAGCACTAAGTTGCATCTGCAGCTCCATGGAAGCCCTCGTTAATTTGCCATTGCCTGGTCTTCACAGTCATTTGTGTTTTAACCTGCAGAGCGGAGACTTCTGCCGGAAATTTTCAAGGGATAAATCCACAAAGGGATATTCCTACACCGCGCGCCCAGCGTTCTGGGGGCATTACGGGGCTTTGAGCATGGCTTGTTCTGTGGTGAGTACTCTGCTGCTGGGCTCAGATACACCATCTGCGGTTCCCTTTGTTGTGGGGTTGTATACAAAGGATATATCCCATACACCAGGTGCTGTAGTGGCTTCCTCAGCCGTTGTCAAGCTCAAGACTGCGTCGTTTGCAGACTCACGGGCGGCCACAATGCTTTTTACTGCCGCCTTGAGTGCGACCGTCCGTGAATTCACAGCAAGATTTAACCGGGAAGATTGCGTTGTTTTAAATCTGACTCGGATAGGCAAAGATCAAGGAGAAGACGTGTCCAGACTACTCGGATCGGCTTCGTTTTTCATGATAGCAACGATAACTGAAGCTGGTCTGGATAGTCGTGAGGTTCTCGAACTGGTGCGTGCATGGCAAGACCGAGTGCTTCAAACGAATACGCGTCCAATACCGATTGCCAGACTTATGCTGCTTCAGTGCTCTACCAATATGATGTTGGATGCCCTAAAAGCTGTGGTGGATAAGATATTAGAGGGCTTTCCTTGCCCCGAGGAAGGAGCACCTATGCAGCTTTATGTTGATTATCTTCAGGCTGGGGTAATAGATATCGATCCTTTATCTACATCTTTTGTGGGTTACACCTTGATTGAATTATCTTGGAGGTGAGTCGGAAATGGAAAGAAAATACCAGGGTGGCTACATGGTGAAAAATCTTTTTTTTATGAACCACCTGGATAATTGCCACATTATCAAAATTGAGGCAGTAATGTCTTTTTTCTCTTCGTGTACTCCTTTAGATGCTATTAATGACTGGACAATAGGTCAAAATATTGAAATCCTTTTAACAATTTATTTTCTTCAATTGCTTATACCTTTTTAGAGTGTTTTATAAGGAGGTAATATATAGATATACATACCGACAAGTAAGCATGTCGTATAATAGCACCATAATCTTCAGGCACGTGCCTCTTATCCGTTTTACTTATGCCATTTCTAAAAGTGCGGTGGTGGTTCCCAAAACCACACCGTTGCCAGAAGTACCAAAGACAGTCCCCACTAACGAAGCTGTTAAACCTGTGGCAAAAATAACCACCGAAAAGACTCCACAAACGACTCAGGTCGTCTACAATTCTTTCAATGACCTTCCACAAAACTTACAACCTAAAATAATTTCTGAGGATATAATCGAAAAGATTACTATGGGTGGTGCCGATCCTTATACTCCAAAACATCTGCAAAAAAAAAAATAGCTTCGTGAAAATTTTTTTGCTCAATTATTACTATTTTTTTCTTTTCGGCCTAAGCGTGAAATTTGTAAAAACGTTATAGTAGTAGTGAAAAGTAGTATACTTTTTACGAAGTTGTCAATCATTTTTAGATTCGGTCAAAGTTGAAAATTTATGAAAAAAACAAGGAATATATTAGTGATGAGCGAGGAGGATAAATAGGTGTAAACTATAGGACAAGGTTCCCTACAAATCCCATGGTATCAAACCACTACCCTATTTTTTATTTTAAAGGGAAACAGAGGAAGGGGTTATAATTGTTCAAGTGTTCTGTAGGTATGTACGCATTCAAGATAACGGTTTATATTATTTTGTTATTTTAATAATATCTAAGTCTGTGTAGCGATTTTTTTACTCTACCTAGAATCTAAGCATTTTGCGCGATAGATCTTTGTTATAATAATTTATTGCATAAATATCCTTCTATTTTCAAACTGAAACATGAATAATAAATGATATACATACACTGAAATGTATATCAAAATATACTTATATGCATTACTTCCGGACTAACCGTGCATTTGCCATTAAACTCAATGCGGCCACCTCTTTCGATCTTTTTTTTTTCACTTTATTTTTTTCTCATAGGGCTTCCCTTGGTAATATCGATAGCCTATCTTTCCACTTTAGATCTAAGCTTTAGTCCACTCATTACTCCTTGGTAATTCATTAGGTGCGATGTCTCTCCCATGTGACACGGGTTCTGTGGAGTTGGCAACCTACAGGGGGTACGTCTCCGAGAGGTTAAACAAGAGTGAACGACTGGATGAACGGAAATTGGGCGAGGTACGACTTCCCAAAGTCTCGCGCAATGTGGGCACAACGCTCGTAGGGGATACAAAAAGTGAGGGTAGGGGGAGCTTACTGTCATCGGTTCTCTACACCGATGACTATGGTACTAGCATTATATCCGACGTGCATGCGGTGTTTGGTCCTCCGCATTCGCAGACACCAGATGAGGGCCGCCTCAATGTTTTCGTCAGTGCACCTTTTTTGAAGGACAACGGGGGCTTTGCTTCACCTGGTAGTCAGAACAACACTGTCATTACCAATGGCTTAGCCGATTATCCGCTTCGGCAGACGGAGGGCTACGTGAGAGGTGTACTCGAATCCTGTATAGACCTCCGACAGCTATGTGTGTATGCCAATGAAGCATGTTGGGTCTTGACTACGAGCCTGACGCTTCTAAATGTTGATGGGGCGTTACGAGCCTCAGCGCTTCACGCAGCAGTGGCAGCTCTTTACAATTTAGCTTTACCACGGGCTCAGCTTCCTAATGGTGATGTGGTTAACCAAATAGATCTGCATTTCTCCTGTGTGCCGATCGCTTGCACCTTTGGCGTTCTTCCCAAAGAGACCCTGAGCTTTCTTGTCGACACAACTGCAATAGAGGAGATGGTTTGTGATGGAGTCATCACTGTGGCTGTGGATGAGACTGGTGGGCTAGTGGATTTTTACCAGTTATGTAGTCGTTCACTACCTCCGCAGGTGCTTATTTCTGCCTCTGAGGCGGCCTATCGTTTGTCCGGAGATATTAGGAAACGCTTAATAGGGAAATGATGAATTTTTTAGAAGTACATTTTCGAAGCCCTAGGGAGGAGGAGGAGGCGACGCTCGTCACACACACACAAAAACTAAACCTTATTATCCTCTACCTACTGTGTACAATGACGCATCTTGTCTGACAAACAACTTCAAATAATTAGATAAGATGTCAATTAAATCATTTTAAGTAAAAATTACATAAGTAATATGAAGCAGCAGTAGAAAATGCTGAGACGTGAATAGTAGCATACCGTGGTAATTTACCCGTGGAATTGCTTATAAAACCTTGTTGAACCATAATGTGCATTCCTCTATTATTAGTCATATTTTGTTGTTTTCAAGCTTAAATTATCCTGAACGACATTAATAAGTAGGAACTACGCCAGGTAAAGGCGAAAGTTAACATTAACACTATAGATAGCATAAATTGGATGGACGCAGCTCAACAAGAGTTGAGATGCTTCCAGTTGGCTCGCAAGCTACACCTCCTTCCATTGCTTAACGAAGTGTTTACCACAAATTCACTTGTACATCCCATTTTTTATCCGTGTTTAGATCCCCGAGCGAAGGAGCTTAGTAAACTAATATACCTCTGTCTGTGGAGATGGCTAAAACCTAGCATCAGTGACGCAGGAGGTACCACATATCCAATTAGTGACATTGCGGACTGCATCTTATCGTTCCTCAGCTTTTCTCACTTGACACCAACGAGCCCCCCCAAGTCTTTACTTCTTCATCAGTCCTGCCAGTCGTCCCCATCAACCTTCCATAGACCCACCAATACACTGTTGGCGAACCCTACAGTGACTCCTCCGCAGCTTCAACCGCCTTTACCGTCATCTAATGTGCCCCCTCCACTCACTCTCGAAGGTAACTCACCGGTTGATACCGAGAATACCCCTTCAATTTGTGAGTCTTCGTCTTCAAAAGGAGATCCTGCGTTATCCAACAAGATGGTGGGCGACAACCTTCTTGTTGGAGGTGCCGATAAGACGCCTGAGCAGGATACTCTTTATCGACCGATGTTTTATGTTCGGCAGCTGAAAGAGCATTCCACGGCGTTGTCGATAAACCACGCGATTTTCATCCGCATGGCTCACACGATACAGCTTAACGAAGAGTCACTTAACCCTTACTTCGGTCGCTATGGCCAGATCAGCTGCTCGCTTCAACGTCGTGTGCGGCTTTCAGAATATTCAAGGCCTCCCAGCGAAGAGTTCATACAGTCGCTGCTTCTCATGTTTAACTGTGATCTTCAGAGTTTGTTGATTCAAGATTTTATTGTTTCCGTTGATTCTTATCAAAACGCCGTGCATGCCGTACATCAGGCATACTACAAGGAGCTCCTGTTTATTGCCTTCCATGACGCGTGTCAGGACACCCACTGCATTGCGGATCTCGATGTGATGCAGTCCAACAATGAAGTTTGCTACTACGTGAGGCCATCACTGACCAAGGAGTCAGCCCCAGCGTTAACGAATCACCACCGTTATGGTAGTCGACGTAAACGCTTGCGATTGCATAATGGGGCGGCCTCAGATCTCGAAAGGGTAGGCGATATGAGCACCTCCTCGTTTTCGTCTCTTTCGAGCAGCAGTAGCAGTAGCAGCAGCGCCAGTAGCATCGATAAGTCTTTTGTTCCCGATGTCATTGTTGATGGTCTGCCGCACTGGGCTACCGAGGGCCAGCTCAAGGTATTACTTCAGGAGCATGGGAAGGTCGAATCCATACGGATGTCTGTCGATGATCTTTCTGGCGCGTTCACCGGCGTTATCTTGGTTAGGATGTCAACAGCCGAAGAGGCGATACAGTTGTCAAATGCACTGCACCAAGCTCAATTTGATTCCCATACACTGCAGAGTGGTGTACTGAACGACCGCTTAGAGATAGAAGCCATCGAGGATGGGAATGAAATTCGTAGCATTTTGGATGAAAGCTTACCAGCTTCGTTTGATATTAATCTCAACCAGCGAGCATGGGTATAGCACAACTTCATTTTTTTGGGGGGGGTGAAGGGGTGGGGGTACTATTATATCTATGAACGCTTCTGATATTATTCCTTTTGACTGCATCTCTTTCCTGTAAATGAAGCAAAGGAGAAGCAGTAGCAAAATGAGGAATGAAGTGAAACAAAAAATAATAATAATAATAAAATATATCATGGGTTGCTCTGGAGTTATTAGTAAGCTGAATCTTATCCCATTAACAGGGACACTCTTAGTTGCACGGAACTTTTTTTTTGTTTAGACCTCTTTAAGTCGTAAGGGTGTGCACATCTCGAAAACTGCAAACTAGGAAACATCAAGGTGCTTATAAATATAGCCGACACCCGCATCCAACGTCTCCCTGCCATTCAACAGCCGTAATCGCAATAACAATTCGATTTTGATGAAATCAGGAAGAAGACTCTCCATGATGAAGCCCAGCACCAACTCTCCCGCACAAGATCCGAGTGCTATCAGGGCAAAGACCAATTCGGCGGTAGCGCGGTCTACGTCCTGCCCACACGCTACGTCTTCCTCAGGGTGGTTGGAGTTGTCCAAAGAGCTGCTGGCGGAAGGGTCCTTTGCGCAAATCCGAATCACGCTGCTTGCCTGTGAGGAAGCCGCCAACGCGCTGTTGGAAAGCGCGAACCGAGCGGGCGGGATCTCCTCCCCTCCCCCCAGCGCCCCCCTGGGCCATTTCACCGAAGCGCTCTACTCACCGGTGGAGCGACCGCGCGACGAGGCGGCGGCCCTACAGGAGGGCGCCCTCCCCGCCACGCCGAGGCGGGCGGCCGCGCAGCGGCTCGTGGAGGCCTGCTTTTCCGCCCTGGCCTCTGGGGCTCGCGAGCTCAGCGCGGCGGCCCTTCGCTTGGCCCGGAAGGCCGTC